GCGGGAGGAGGTGACCCTGGGCATAAATGGGGAGTGGGCCCAGCGGCTCTTGCCTACCAGAGTCTGGGGGCGTAGAGCCTCTTAAATCCCATCTTTTAATCTGCGGTCAGGATGCTAGTAGCCATCGTAGCCTCACGGTTCTTTAGGTGGTGCCCGTTTAAAATGAACTCTTCTCTTTCCCGTCTTGGCCCAGATGAGGAAACAAGCGTGGTGATGGTTGGGAAAATTTCGTTCTGTCCCAAGGACGTCCTGGGCCACGGAGCTGAGGGCACAATCGTGTACCGGTGAGTGGTAGAAACACCACCTGGTGTCTGCCTGTGGGGTTGCGGGTGGCTGCCAGGCTGCAGGGTACAGCACGGGCAGAGCAGCGACCAAGGCAGGCGAGTCCTGCCTCCAGGGAGCTCACGCACTGAGAGAACGTGGTGACCCTGGGGCCACCTGATGGTCCGTCAGGGGCCCCTGGGCTGGGAGGCTGGTGAGGTGGCCGCTGTGGCACAGAAGGAGCACGCAGGGCCACAGGTCCCATCTCGTTTCCACACGCTGGCCTGCGTTATCAAACCACCCGCTTCTTGTCCCACAGGGGCATGTTTGACAACCGAGACGTGGCCGTGAAGAGGATCCTCCCCGAGTGCTTCAGCTTCGCAGACCGCGAGGTGCAGCTGCTACGAGAGTCAGACGAGCACCCGAACGTGATCCGCTACTTCTGCACGGAGCGCGACCGCCAGTTCCAGTACATCGCCATAGAGCTGTGCGCGGCCACCTTGCAAGAGGTGGAGTTTCATTTTTCTTTCATTTTATTCACTTTCTGAAAGTTACAGTAGGATGAAATGTACCATTTAAAATGTACAGTTTGATGCATTTTGACCAGTATCTGTACCCATTTAGCCACAAACAATCAAAATGCAGAGCATTCTTAGCACCCGAGTGCGGTGGCGCCTAGGCTCGTCCCTTCCCTCTCGGCCTCCGGGAAACCTGGTCAGTTGCTCTTCCCATCTCTGGCCATGGCTGGAGCAGGCTTGGAGGAGGCTGGTTGGTGACTCCAGGCTTTAAGATCATCCGGCAGCCTCCTTTTTTCAGCTGCCAGGCTCACCATGAAACCATTTCAGTATCATCTGGATTCCCTTGTAGGTTTACCTGTTTGAGGCAGTGAACTTGGGTGTCTTGCCTTCTTGTCTTCTTATTGTAAATTAGTGAATTGGGGCTTTGCTTGTTTATTTGAGTCAGCCTGTGACTTTAGAAGGTCTGTTGGAAAATGTGGATTTGGATAGAGAATGTTGTCAATAAAACTTGCAATTTCTCTCTTAGAGAGAAAACAAGCTGAGGGGTGATGCCCTGTGGGCTGTGCACCGTGACCTTGCTGTCGTGTCTCTTGCAGTACGTGGAGCAGAAGGACTTTGCTCACCTCGGCCTGGAGCCCATCACCTTGCTGCAGCAGACCACCTCAGGCCTGGCCCACCTCCACTCCCTCAACATTGGTGAGAGACCGCCCTTGACTGCCAGGGGCCCGGGTCGGGGCGAACAGGGACTCACGTGGGCCCACTTCTGTTTAAGCCTTTTGCTACGTCACTGAGGTGGGGACAGCGGAGGGGTGTCAGGTGGGCTTTTGACAAGTTGTGTGAGAATCTGAGGAGGAATCCTACGTAGTTGAAAACCTGAACCTTTAGAGGTGGCAGTAGTACATTGGGAGCGTGTCCTCGTCACGCTCCCCATTGCAGGAGGTGCCCAGGCTTGCTCCTGGTGAGCACTGGACTAATCTGGAGTTTTCTGTTAGTCCACAGAGACCTGAAGCCCCACAACATCCTCCTCTCCATGCCCAACGCACACGGCAGGATCAAGGCCATGATCTCCGACTTTGGCCTCTGCAAGAAGCTGGCAGTGGGCAGGCACAGCTTTAGCCGCCGTTCTGGGGTGCCTGGCACGGAAGGCTGGATTGCTCCCGAGATGCTGAGTGAAGACTGCAAGGACAACCCTGTGAGTAATGGGCACAGACCTTTGAAAACAGTGGAACCAGCCTGTTGCCTCTTCAGGAGTAAGAACTTTCACGCTCCAGGTTTGGAGGAGGGTGCACATGTGGCTGGACAACGACATCCCTTTAACCAAGAGCTGCTTTGTGAACTTTCCATATTGTCTCATGTTCAGATGAATGAAAGGCGCAAATGTGGGCAATTATCTATTCTTTTTCCTACTCTTCCAGTTACTT